CTTGATAAGTATATGAATGAAAAGGGCTGGGTTTAAATTTTTATTATTATTATTTTAATCATTTTAATTTAGTTTTGAGGATGGAACAGCCAAGATGGACCAATAAGTCCCATGTTGTTATATCGAAATGCTTCTTTTCAAGAGTACATTACAGGAAAATTATTCATTTTTTGCAGTTCCCAAAATTTCATACCGATACCAAAATCAATCCATCAGTCTTGATATGTGCTAAATGGTCAATCTGCAAAAAAAAACCATATAAGAACAAACATTTTTGTTTTTGTGAAGGAACTTCATGATAAAACAGTTCTTCTTCTGTTAACTGATTAAAAGAAATATTTAAAAGACAGGAAAATGAACAGAAAAAAAGGCATGAAGAGAAGGACGTGTTTCAGTATACATTTATTGTTATTCAGTTTACATAATTTTTTTATGTTGATATTATATACATGCATGATTTTAATGCATCATATCGAATAACTTGATTTGATCTGAATATCTCCCTATTGACACTTCTTATAGAAACAACAACTGTCAGAAATCACTCAGTTTGGTTTCAGCCATGGCAGTCATACCATGGAGACTTTTGCAATGAAAACCAAAACTTTGCTACAGGTCTTTTATTTGTACGCATGGTCATTAAAAAGAGCTTGACCAGATGAATTGACATGAACTGTATTGACATCTGAGGCTCCAAAGTCATTTTAATATAATGTACTCAACCTCTGTATTTAGATATGGCAAGGATTGTTACATCAGAGTACCAAACAAGTTGATCTGATAGTAGTAAAGAAAATAACACTGATAATTCAAAATGAATAAGAACTATTAATAGTGGAAATGTTTTGAGTAACTCAACAGAAAGTAAAATCAACTTCTAGAGAAAGTTTCCTCCTAAATTGAAAATGTATTTCCAATAATACTTATCTCTGCTGACACATAGCTATTCCTCAACCTTCACTTTCCCCATCTAAGTATTGGTCTTGCTTGTTCCAATCTTTTATACCCCACTTAAATGCCTGTGGCAATTTCTGGCCTTTTGACACTCTACACGTACGTCAGTGCACCCTCTATCCTGGTATTGTATATAAGCACCTCATTCAGATAATGTAACAATTTTTCGAGACTGACACCATCCAATTGAGTGGAGGAACAGCACTATATTCAGCACAGGTACACCCGGAACCTAGTTCCTGTATCAAGAGTGGAATAGTACATGAGTAATCATTATAGTCCAGCCCCAACAAGATAACCGATATTGCACGACTCGGGGTTGAAATTAAGGAATCTTGGCCCCTATATCCTACATTGGTGGCTAGAGCAATTGGACCACAACATAATATATATAGATATTCTTTAGTTGGATCTCAACCTGTAGCCACAGAGTGATGTGTTCCGATCCACTGGAATCATGATGAGAAAGTAAACAACACCGAAGTGGAAAAACTTTCTCCTCCACCTGAAGAAGTCTGAAAGGCAACACCCCAGGCTCAGAATGACAGGATAGTGTATGCCTTACTCAACCAAAGGTACAGAATTCATCCCATCTAGAATTATGAACATTCATCCTCACTCCCCAACTGAATGGGCAAAGTGCATTCCACTTGCCCCTGGAATTATGGAGAGAATGTGGAACACTGTGCTCAACCAAGGACCTAGGATGGGACCACTCCACGGTTGGAATTAGGAGGAGATAGTGGACAATATACTAAATCAATATTGATAAAAAAAAGGGCCATGCACACCCCAACCAGATAGCTTAGCATCAAATCTAAACTAGTATTATGAGTAGGCTCGCGTGGAGGCTAGTGCCTCTCCTACTGGCATCTGGGAAAAACATAGAAGGACCCAGGTAGGAGGGTCTCCAACTTCAACTCTTCTCCAAGAGTAGAGGGAAAACTCACACACTCTGGAGGAAAAGCCTCTGTCCACCACCCCAGTGACTGGAAATTGAGTGTAGTAAGGACTTCCTAGCTCCACTAGTAGAATCTGGTAATGTGCATTAGGGAGTCATGAGAAACAATGCTCTAGATACAATGCAATAGGTGAACCAAGTTCCTTAAATTTTAAAAGCAAACTGACTCCAATTTATTGAATTGGATGATTGGTAAGGATGGGGAGGATCCCATTTAGCTTTACTCATGATAGTCCATGAGTAGCAGTCCAGCAGGAAATGGAAATACCATCTAGTAAGCACCTAATCAGGGATGGCAAACTTATGGCACATGTGCCCAAGTTGGGATGAGAGAAAAATTTTCTTGGCACGTGGAATTCACTGCTGTTCCAAGTTTTCTTTTACCTGACCAATATATATATTCTATAATTGATAACTTATATAATATAGTAATTATATATAAAATACTTATAATACATAAGATTAATAATAAAAACAGTAATTTTGCAGTTCAAAATTGCCATGGGCACGCAAAAGAATTTTTCCGAAAATTATCGACAATTTGGGCATACGCTCTTCAAAAGGTTTGCCAGCCCTGGCCTATATGGTTTTATGGAACATCTAATTTCTACAGAGCCTGTTGCAACTAGCAGGAAGTATGGTTAAATTGGTTGCTAGTGTGGAATTGGATTAAAAAAAACACACTTGTCTGGGCAACACTTGCCACAGAGTGGGATCCAGTGAAAAAAAAAAGAGGGAAGGGACCCTGGAAAGTAAAGAGATAAGAGGAGGACAAAAACATTCACTCCTCCTTATAATCTAGCAGATGTTATCAAAACAGCCACAGGGGGTAGTCAAAAACCTTCAGAAGAAGATACTGTCAAATCGTGTAAAAAAAATGTAAGAGAAGTATTGGGAGAAGGCCACATACCAGCAGGTAATTGAAACAGGCAGCAAAAGACATAGAAATGTGATGAATCTGATGAGCTGCGACTCTCTGAAGTTTCCTCGCCTGTAAAGAAAGTCCAGAATAAGCAATATGGATATTTGCGAATCAACCTTGTCAAAGTAATTGGGGATAAATCTCGGAAAACTGATTGATCCCAATGAATACAGAGTAAGATACCATCACCTCAAAAGGAGTTAGTGCGAGTCACATAATGCCTCAGGGCTCTGACAGGACATAATAAATGATCAGCGTCTGATTGGTCATAGAGGTGGACCTTCTTGAAGATACTGCACAAGAGGAATCCATGGTTAGGCCAGCCAATCTGAGGCTACCAACAGCTATCAACTAGAAAATCGATTCAACGCCAGAACTCTTGAGTAACAGACGAATTGGGGCAAAGGTAGAGAGGTGCGATCCCATCCAATCTGGACTGTATGCATCTGTCACCAAAGCCTGAGGATAAAGTACCGAGGACCAAAAACGCCTGTAGTTGAGTTTCAAAAGTGGCAAGTGCATCAATCATTGGATACTTGAACTGAGAGTGAGTAAATCCATCAGCAAACCTCACAATGGAGAATCCATTCAGTTGAGAGAAACAGACTGGGCAGAGACAGGTGATCTGTCATGAATGAAATTCATCACCCCAGGAAAATGGCAAGACAGGAGGCTGATATGGTGGGAGTGAGCCTTGTAGAGAAATAACCAAAGTTCAAAAACAAAGGACCCGAGAACATGTGCTCCCATGATGGGAAATTTAAGAGACTACTGTGGAATTGATGAAAAAAATCATGACAACATTCTACTGCAATAGATCTAGATCTTGAACCATAGCCTGGAGGACAGTAAGAAGTTCTAAATTATTGATGTGGAAGGAAGATTCGTCTTTCATCCATATACCCTGGAATTCCTGACCTTTAATATATACACTCCATCCCTGAGTGAGGCATTTGTGAAAAGATGAAACTTGGGACAGAGGGAAGGTATACGTACATCGATGGTAGTGTTGAACCAAATGAACCACTACTCGAGAACTAATATGTAGCTCCTGATGAAGGAGACAGGATGATCCAGTGGATTGAAATTCCTGATCCATTGGTAATGCAGTGACCATGGAAGTGACTGCATGTACGCTCTTCCTGAAGGAATAAGATATTGTAGGGATGCTCACATTCCCAAAAGAGAAAGAATCATTCATGTAAGTAAGAGCCTGACTGCCCATTCCATAGCGTAGAACCAGATGGGAGTTGGCTGAACTGGCTTAAAACCTGTTGAAATACTCATACAACCATGCAGAAAACATATGGTGCAGATGCTAGACCAAAGGTAGATCCCTGAACAGCAGAGCCTGACCCCTGTACATGAAACGTAGATAGTGGCAGGATGAATTCAATAGAAATGCATCAGCAACATTGAACTTGGTTATCCACTGACCTGGTGAAGAATGCCAATGTAGGTTGAGAAAAGGACTCCATTGTGAACCTGGGAGGATTAAATAATTGTTTGAGACAAGAAAGATCAAAGATCTTCCGCCAATCTCCCGTCATCTCAGGCACAACAAATAAACGGAAATAAAATCCCAGAACAACGGGATTGACTTTCACTACCACCCCCATGACCATTAGCTCTCTGATAATCTGGGAATGAAAATCCACACTCCATTGATCAGTTGGTGGTGAAAATATCACAGATTGGGAGGATAATGGAGGTGGAGAAGTAAATGGAAAGACAAACCCCAATGCTAGAACCTGATTTACCCATGGATCTGCGGTGAAGGAATATCATATGTTCATCAATTTTTGCAACTTCACTCCTACAGAAAGAACAGAAGCTGAAAATCTGACCATTCGTCCTCAGACTGATGTGGGGGCCCTTGATAGGCTTCCAACAAAATTTTATGGAAAGTAAAATGTCTCAGAACAAGAAAGAAGGTCAAACAAATAAAATAACTGTGATCTGTTCAAAGTGACCACAGGGTCCAGTTCTGGTGGTGGTAAGCCAAAGCAAGTAAACAGACAAACGAGGGTACAAGGTATATCTATCCTGTCACATAATAAAGCAGTAAATTTCCCAGCATGAACCACCAATATCAGGTGAAGGAGGAAACTAAGTAGTCCCCCCCTGACTCAAAGGTAGCCAAGGAAAACCCCAAAATATCACAAACCCAAGTGACTAATTGAAGAAAAGGAGCAGGAGGTGGTTGATCCAAACTGGACTCGTGAGAAGCCGACTTAGTAAAGAAAGGTGCCAGAAAAACAGAGTCCAATTTCGCCCCAGAATGTCCTAGGTCATCAAGAAAAGCAGCCTCAGAACCCCCAGGAGAAACACCCCAGGGCCGAATATATGCCTCCATCTCACAACAGGTCAAATTACGGAAAACCCCAAGTACGACCCCCCCCCCCGACCATAGAGAGACGCTAAATAAAGAGGAGGTCTGATTAGCCTCTGCACTGACAACAGTAACAAGGGAATTCATACCTGAAAACAGCACATCAATTTTTTTTTCAAGGAAATGATAATTGTACAGAAATTTACAAGGTGACGCCAAAATCACAATCCTGAACGTAAAGAAGCACAGCACTTTGTCAGAGAAAACATTGACCAAACGTTTTATCGAGAAAAAAGTACCAGGACAGAGGGTGCATTGATGTAGATGGAGAATATTACAAGGCCAAAAATCGTCATGGGCATTTAAATGGGGTACAAAAGACTGGAGCAAGCAATCAATGCTTAGGACCTTTAGTTATTAAGCAGTTTAGTTACCTGTGACTGAGTCTACTACCTCCTATCTTGGAAAGTAGTACAACTCACTTAATCAGCCCTTTTCAGGGCTTGTGCTACTAATTCTTTTTTCTTGTTTATGTATTTTTTGTACAATGCTTCTACCTGTTTCATGATGCCAGCTAACTCCAAGAGAACCATTGTTACTTGGTCTCAAGGGGAACAGCTGACAACCGAGAACAGATATGGCATGCTGCTTAAATGTAAGGAGCTCTGCTCATCTGACAGTGACCAAGATCTCATCATCGCCACGTCTCCCTTGAGTTCAGGGGGTGACTCCATGTCACACACTAACTATCCTGATAAGCCCAGTAGCCCAGCCATGACTGAGACCATTGAGGTTCTTGGGGAGACCTAAGAGGACAGAGCCATGAACAGAACTGATTGCTCAGTTGAAAACATTGAAAGAGTTGCAGAAGCTAATGTTGCAGAGCTCAACTTGTTATATACCATACTTGAGCCCAAGAATGAAGACGCATTGTTAGTTGACACATTGAACATTTGAGCCCTACAGTCCACAACAAAGACAAGGTCATCATTGACAATGGAGGATCAACAGACTGTGAGAACAGCCAAGCCTATTGTGGAGCCACCAGCAACAGCCAGGAGACTGACCCTTAGCCTTTATTAATTCCTCCAAATGCAACTTGCGTGAAGGTGGAGAGAGAGGACAAGGAGCAAAGAAGACTGTTGGTGTGTCTCATTAAAGGGTGTATCACAACTATGTAGTAATACTGTCAATTGTGTTGACACCTCTGAAAGGAGCACCAAACCCCTAAACCTAAGGAGACGTTCCTAGAGGTAGGTGTGACTTGAGGGTGCTTAAACTTGAGAAGAGCAGGATGGAATGAGATCCATGGTCTAGGTGAGTAAGGTCATCAGAACAGATACCAATGAAGGATGTAAATGTCAAGAGGAAATCCCATGGACACCATATACCCTGGACAGATGTACATTGCAGTGGTTAGAGAGAGGCTACTAATTAAGAGATAGTGGGATTCTTCTCTGCAAGGTCAAGTACAACTCCTTGAAAAACTGTCAAAGTTGATCAAGCATTACCTAACATTAGAGCAGAGCCCGGTGTTGAAACAGCACAGCCAGAAAATTAATGGAATAAAGCTAAGAAAGAAGACCAACTGAAGCAGAGAGCCATGTTGGCCAACATTAAGATAGTCCTGAGCAAGACTTGGGAGGACCTTAAGAAGTTGGTAGCTGCTAGCTGCAAAACTATTGGGGATCTGAAGAGTCTGCTGGCAAGGTTATAATGAGTAGGAGCAATGCCTTGACATTCTTGAGGAAGATCCGGAGTCAAAGCAAATATTTTTATTAATTTATCATTTAGTATGTGCTGTAAATATTAGGTCGTCAAGA